CCGCCCCGAGCGCGCATGCGCAGTCGATAGGCGGAAGAAGCCGCCGCTCCACGTGGGAGAAGCGATCGCCTCCGGTAACCGGGGGGGTGTGTGTGTTGGTACGGACACAACGGGAAGGGGAAAGGTGAGGATTGTGTTTTAAACCGGGAGCGGATCTCCTTACGCTGCCCGCACGCTCCGGAGAGGGGGAGAGGAGGGAGCAGGGAAGGGGAGCTGGGCCTCACCGGCCTCCGCCCGCGTTGTTTGAAACGATTAAGGCTGAAAAGCGGCGTTTTAGCGTAATGAGCATCTGCCTTAATTACCATTAATTAGATTAGGTGAGAGGTGTGGTGACTCGTAACAGCTTTTAGAAATCTACAATGTTTGTAAAATTTACTTTTCAAATGAAAATCGCGGCGCTGCCGGACGGTTTGGCTGTTTGTGTTAATATTTGGCAGTTTAATTAGATGCATAAAACTATTCACTTTCTTTCCAGAATTAACTCACTTGACTCATTGGCAAGACAACTCATCTTCTACCTGCAAAGTGCTCCTCCCCATAGCCATCACTACAAAAAAAAAAAACCACAGATAGGAAAAAAAAATAGCCTTTGCATCAGTATTGCTCTTAAAGGAGCATTTCTGGATGTAATTTCACTGAATTTCACTGAATTTTAGAGTTGGAAGGGACCATAGAGATCATCTAGTCCAACTCCATAAAGCTTTTTTTTTTTTTTTTTTTTTTGAAAAAAAAATAAATCTTTGCATCAGTATTGCTCTTAAAGGAGCATTTCTGGATGTAATTTCACTGAATTTCAGAGTTGGAAGGGACCATAGAGGTCATCTAGTCCAACTCCATCATCTAGTCCAACTCCATAAATTAAGCTTTTTTTTTTTAACTGTTACTCCTGAAAATGGCCTTTCGATTTAATTTTTTTATCGATGAAAATGAGAACAATGAAGCAGACGCTCGTGATGGGATGGACTTAGAGCTGCGCGCCCCAAAACGCACGCAGGAATGTGTGGAAAAGAGCAAGGAAACGTCCAGTCCCATAGTGGGCTCCAGCCCCGGGCTGGGCACCGATAAGCACGAAGCTGAGACGTACTGTTTGCCCTGTGTGGTTTTGTCCCTGCCTGCATAAGTGTGTGCACACAGGCAAACACATATTTTTAGGTTTGTGATAGGAAATGCCAGAGTAACCCGATAGGTGTTTTCTGTGGTCTCAGACTAAAAAGCATGTTATAATGGCATTTTTCAACACATCTAATGAAAGGTCTGTTTGCATTTCAAGTGCATATTCATCCCGGTTGGCTGTGTCCAGTATGAATCTATTTGACCATCTCAACGAATAGTGCTTTTGCACAAAGAGCGCGGTGTCTCTCTTATCTAACTGAACTTATGTGGCCTGTACATGAAAAGCTCGAGGATCGAGTGGCTTTTTTTTTTTTTTTTTTTTTTTTTGAAAAAAAAATAAATCTTTGCATCAGTATTGCTCTTAAAGGAGCATTTCTGGATGTAATTTCACTGAATTTCAGAGTTGGAAGGGACCATAGAGGTCATCTAGTCCAACTCCATCATCTAGTCCAACTCCATAAATTAAGCTTTTTTTTTTTAACTGTTACTCCTGAAAATGGCCTTTCGATTTAATTTTTTTATCGATGAAAATGAGAACAACGAAGCAGACGCTCGTGATGGGATGGACTTAGAGCTGCGCGCCCCAAAACGCACGCAGGAATGTGTGGAAAAGAGCAAGGAAACGTCCAGTCCCATAGTGGGCTCCAGCCCCGGGCTGGGCACCGATAAGCACGAAGCTGAGACGCCATCTGAGAAAAAGTTCTGCTTCAAAGCTGCCAAGGAACACGCTGTTCCTGAAGATCTCGACAAAGTATTGGAAAATAAAGTCATGGAAAGAAGGTGGGACCTGTATTACGTAAACGTGTCTGCAGTGGAAATGTCACGTTTGGATGACGCCGACGGGGAAGGCATCGTGTCTAAAAGCGTTTCTTCTCACTCCGATCTCATCCCAGGGGTCTACGAGGGAGGACTGAAAATCTGGGAATGCACCTTTGATCTCATAGACTACTTTTCCGAGGCCGAAATACAGTTTACCGACAAGACCGTACTGGATCTTGGCTGCGGGGCCGGACTGCTGGGAATAGTTGCGTTGAAGGGAAAAGCTGGAAAAGTCCATTTTCAGGACTACAACAGCACAGTGATCGATGAAATAACCTTGCCGAACGCGGTGGCTAACTGCATAGGTGACCGCAGTCGGACAGGCAGCGGAGGTGGTGGAAAAACTCAGGAACCTCCTTCGAAGAGGCCCAAGAAAGCAGAGTGCTCGCCCGATGCGCTCACCAAATGCAGATTTTTTTCTGGAGAATGGTCTGAAGTCAGCCGGCTCCTGTCCAGCAGCAACAAACCCTTCTCCAAGTACGACATCATTCTCACCTCCGAGACCATCTATAACCCTGACTACTACGCTGCTTTGCACAACACCCTGGCTCAGCTCCTGGATAAAAGCGGCCGGGTGTATTTGGCAAGCAAAGCACATTATTTTGGGGTCGGGGGTGGCATCTACCTCTTTGAGAAATTCGTTGAAGAGAGAAACGTCTTTAGGACCAGCATAGTTAAAATAATCGATAAAGGACTGCAGCGATGTATTATGGAAATGGCCTTTAAAGATTCCAGTTAAAATTCAACCACCGGTCCTTCAAAAGTATCTTAAAGATGAAATGTTTTAATCCTCGTATCTCTTTGCTTTTCCCTCTGTTGCATTATTCTGCTCTGACAAATTAAGGATGCTGATAAGGGAACTGTTTGACAAAATTTTAATGTCTGACTAGCAGCGAAGGACTTTTCTGATTTTGCACAGAAAAGCAGAGTTTTGCTTAAGCCAGCATCTGTTTAAACCAATTAATTGTCATTTATACATATTTAAAAATGAAGCAAGTCGCTTTCCCCAGTCCTCACAGCATCAAAGCTCTACGTCACAGGAGCAGCTCCTGAGCACAACCTGAACTAAGATCATACCATCCTCATACAGCCCAGGAAGCTGTTTCTTCCCCAGGGTCAGGCTCCCAGCTCACACAGGGTTCAAAAACAGGTTTCAGGCTCCACAGCCTGTCTGGGTGCTCTGCCGCCAGAGGGGGCTGCCACTGTATTTATTATTCTGTTCCATCCTGCTAGCAATCCCCCAGATCTCTGTAAGGTAACCCTGACTTTTAATCAAGCCTCTGAAAACGTACCAGGGACTCCTTACTACTGCACCCTGTGAATTTTCACCTACAGATTTTGACATACCACTCTTAAGAAAACTTCAGCAAGTAGCTGGAAAAAGCCGTGCTGTTTTTAGAAGTAATAAACCTCATTTCTGTTTTAGAAGCCGAGTTGAAATAAGGTTCTACACAAGGATTTCTTAAAAACAACTGAGAACAACCGACCAATAAACCTACAAACGCAATGAAGGAAACCAGAGAATGACAGAAATGAGCTTTAGGTGACAAGTGGGAAAGGAGATAAACTGCACTATTATAGCAGGTTACTAACTAGGGTGCTGTACTGGTTTGGGGGCTTTTTTTAAAGATTTTTCCAGAAATTAGACTGCTCATACACTATGACCATATTCAAAACTTGCTTGGAGTACTACTGAACACTCACACCTCTCATCTTTTCAGCAGTTTGGCAGGGCGGCAAGTGTTCAGAAAAGCCTGTGCACAAGTCACTCCCGTGCCCTAGGCTAAAGAAATTACCTTACCAAAAAAATGCAGGCAGACCCAAAAAACTACAACACCTGGTCCTGAGTGCTTGGTTTCACCAGCAATTCACACACACACACACACAATACCAAAAAAATGCAGGCAGACCCAAAAAACGACAACACCTGGTCCTGAGTGCTTGGTATCACCAGCAATTCACAGACACACACACACAAATCCATTGCGCTTTTTGCCTTAACTAAAACTAGACAAAAAAAGCTATTACACAACTTGACCAGGTATATCGAAGCTACTGCTTAGCCTTATGCAGTGCTTTATTGGATGCCCTTGCAGAAATACAAACCTAAAGACAGTCGACCACTTCAGCAAACTAGATACAAGTACACTCAATGTAGGGGAGAAAGGACAATAGTCTGAGGAGATGGAAAGGAACTTATTACAGCAGTGACCTAAATCGCTTTAATTATTGCATAAAGTTCCCGTCACTGAAGGCTTTGAAAGCCTACTGCAAGATTCCTGTTTGACCATGTGCTGTTATGATAGAGTCGTAGAGGATTTCCTGCACTTTACAGAAGAGTCTTAACAACTACTGTGTTTCAAAAACAATTTTAAGTAGACTATTTTAAAGAGATGCTTCGGAAACTACTGAAGTTGCTCTTTTATAGGAGGGGGGGAAAAAAGCAGTCCGTGGCTGTGATTGTGCTTTGGAATTTTTGTGCGTCATCTCCAAGACTTACTGATGATAGACAACTGCTGACTACAGAGTGAGGAACAAAAGGAAGCTTCAGCTTTGGCAGATCAATAAAGTACTCTTAACAGTTCTTTTTTTTTGCCAAAACTGGGAAGCTAGAAACAAAGTGATTACCACTTGCCATTTTTCAAACCGCAGTCCCAAGACAAATTGTGGCTCGTGCATAGTGACTGAATGGATTGTTCTACACCTGCTACACGTCTTCTGCTGTTTCAGAGTGGTACCTGAAGTAATAAAGAAGTGGTGACCACTGTGACAATGAATATGGTTAAGAACCATAAGGATCTCATGTATTTTTTGATTAATAAAGGCAGCACTTCCAATCTCCTACCATAATGCTTCCTCTTGAAAATACTTCCTGATCAAACTCACTGTCTTGGGTTTAATATTACTCCTTTGTTCAGCATCCTCAGTTTATTCTTAGATTGCTCAAACGTAACTCTGTTTTTGTGCAAATACAGAACTAGATTTTTTAGGACTTTCAAGTGAAGACTGCTAAAGCAACACTCTCAGTGATTACAAACCTGCAAAACAGGAAAACCCACACAGTATAATTAAGTTCCCATTTCAGAATTACAGATGTGAATTAATACAGGACGTTTTTCCTCGGGTGAAATCAGCAAAATTAGATTTGGGATGTCCACAATTCCAGATGAGTTCTGTTCTAAAAAGTCAGCAGATACATGCTGAAAAGCAGCAGAACTCGACACTTAGTTTTGTAGGCTGGTGATTCTGTTGGTGTTTCAACATCAAATACTGGTTTCCCTAATTTACATAAAGGCTTTCTCTACCTGCCAAATCACCACCACCCTAGTGACCAGCTTCCTGGTTTTCTTCTTGATCTGGACTAAAAGTCATTTAACTTGTAATTAGCATTTCCCAAAATGACATTGCATTGGAAAAGTAACAGAATTGAGAGGTCCTCAAAGTACTTTTTTTTTTTTTTGATGACACAATAAGCCCTTACATTGGGTCCAATTTCTTGTATGAAGAAACGAAGGTAAAAATCAGCTGGTAACTCAATTTATTAGCTCATTCCAAATCATCACCCCTTTTCTCCCCCCACCCTATCCCCTCACCTTTTGAAAGTCATCACAATTAGAAATCCAGTCTAAATGATGTCTTTCCCATAAGTATTGTGGAGAGAAACATTAACATCAGTTATAAAACATCTCCGGAAACTAAATTAAAAAGCTTGTTTGTTTTAAGAGGCGATATCCTTAACTGATGACTTCCCTTTGAAAACTATTTGCTAGTTTTGGGAAATGAGGCTATTAAAAAAAAATCAGTTTGTATACTGGCAAGAATTAAATGGCATCCGTTACAGTTACTTTACTAAAGCTTAGGGGAAAAAAAAGAACCCACGGGGAAATTGAAGTGGGAAGTGCCTAATTTACAAATTATTGACTTGTATGCTATTCTTAGTTACTAGGTACACAGGCATTTAATTATGTTCTGGAATCAAAAAATCTTGTTAAGAAAAATAATGGCTTTTGCAGAGGTGCAACCAGGTGACCGTAGCAGCACAAAGAGCACATGCAAAAGCTCACAAAGGTACTGGGGGGGGAAAAGTCCAGGCTGCATGTAGGAGGAAGCAGGTGCCAACCAAGAGACCTACAGCACCAGGTTCAAGAGATCCTACTCCCAGGAGATTATTGGGATGGAGATACCTGGAACTCTTCTAATGAGGAATGGACTGGAAGGTCCGAGGAAGAGAAGAGGAAATTCTGCTCTGTCCAACCAATCAAAACAAAGATATATAAAGGTGACATAAGATGGATAATTAGTGTAATAAGGCAGTACAGCAGGATTTTTCTTTTTTTTTGTGATAGAAACTGGACAAAAGACTCTCAAATTTCATAGCTTGTACTTTAAGAGTCACATGCACATTGAAGAGAAAAAGCCCCTCTGTACCACCAGCTACTGGTAGATAAGTGCAGTAGGAACCACAGCAAAGGGAAGAACCAGGATTTATATACAAATACCTCAAGTATAACAGCAAGTTAACAATGTAAGCATAAGAACAAAAGGTACTTCCTTGAAATTCACAACAACATTCAAGAGAAGACTGGCAGGAAAGAAAAAAGTGAGAACTGTAGCAACTAACTTCACAACAAATGAAGGGCAACATCCTGCCACAACAGGAGGAAGCAGGTGCTGTAAGTTAATTCCCTAGGTGTACTGGGAAGAAAGTTACAAGATAGTTATTGCTATAAAAAAAATTTGGAAAAGCATCATTATACTCATGGGGAGTAAAAGTAGTACAGGAGAATCAGAATTAAACAAGTATTGTCAGAATTTGACATTGTCATCAGTCTGCTATAGGGAAGGATCTTACAAGAACACAAAAGATCTTGATCATTACTTGTGTGGCACACAAATACTGAATTTTCAGAACCACTGAGTAAATCAAAGACTTAGAACACTAGTTTGGTTTTGGTTTTTTTCATGACTCCAGGTGGCAAGAGCCATTTTAGAACAAAAGCCCTACTAGCCATTTAAAAATGCTTAACACATTCAAGACCCAACCTTCACTGCTCATTCAGTTAAAGCAAGCAGATTTAAAGTAACCATCACTTCCTATAAAAAATTCAATTAACTTAATAGAACTTTGTTCTTGTCCCCATTAGAAACCTAGAATGTTTACTCACAGTATTACTACAGGAGTAGCTACACTTCACCACAGAGCAACACCAGAAACAGATTACAGAATGTTTCCTAAATTCAGTATTACCACTTATTGAGTCTTTCATAAAGAAACTGAACTTACATAGAATTGTAACATGTGGCAAGATGCTCTAGTTTCCATACCCTTGGAAGGTACTTCTATTCCCACAAAGCGCAATGTGAAACTATGATCTTCACCTACTAAAAATTCACCACAACTAAACTGGGTCTACTCTTCTCACCCAACACATACACAGAACAGTCAAAATTTACCTGGGCAACTACCAACCAACAGTGCTTATTAGACACATACAGAAAGTAAGTCCACAGAACATTAAGTTATTGTCAGTGCAAATTAGGCAGTTATGATTTGATACTTCTAGTAGCTCACATACAAATCTAGGTTCTAAGGAGTTACTCTTGCAGTATCAGGTTTTATTCCTCTATTGCCCTCTCCAATTTCTCCCACCTGATTTGTAGAAAATAAATGAGAAAGTCAAGCAATCCCAAGTAACAGAGGATGCACTTTTCACATCATGGTTTCTCCATCAGACAGCTTGTTTTTAAAATGTTCCCAATTGCTACCATATTTATTGAATGTTCTTTTAAATCACAGAGATTGCATTGACCCACTTGAATGTAGGAGCATAAATACAACTGATTTGACTCAGCTGAAGGAAAAGGGAATTAAAAGCCACACATGTGAACATTTGAGTACTATTGGAGCCACTAAAGAAATCAGTCTTAATTTTTTATTTATTTGGAATCTTGTTTGGCAGCTGAATTAATAGCAGCTGAATTAATACAGGTGTCAAGTCTCATCTAAAAATGCAGTTATGATGGGCACAAGCCTTTAGAATAAGCATTACACACTGTCTTCCCATCCCATATAAAACCTAAAGAGTTTTGGTTTTGTTTTTTTTCATGACTCCAGGTGGCAAGAGCCATTTTAGAACAAAAGCCTTACTGGCCATTTAAAAATGCTTAACACATTCAAGACCCAACCTTGACTGCTCATTCAGTTAAAGCAAGCAGATTTAAAGTAACCACCACTTCCTATAAAAAATTCAATTAACTTAATAGAACTTTGTTCTTGTCCCCATTAGAAACCCAGAATGTTTACTCACAGTATTACTACAGGAGTAGCTACACTTCACCACAGAGCAACACCAGAAACAGATTACAGAATGTTTCCTAAATTCAGTATTACCACTTATTGAGTCTTTCATAAAGAAACTGAACTTACATAGAATTGTAACATGTGGCAAGATGCTCTAGTTTCCATACCTTTGGAAGGTACTTCTATTCCCACAAATGCAATATGAAACTATGATCTTTACCTACTAAAAATTCACCACAGATAAACTGTGTTTACTCTTTTCACCCAACACATACACACAACAGTCAAAATTTACCTGGGCAACTATCAACTAATGTTTTTATTGGCAATTAAGATCATGCAATAGCTGGACTAAGACCCCATGGCTACAAATGGGCTATTCCTGCTCTAGCAGTAAGACTAACAGATTCTGAGTCAAGAGATGCCAACATCCAATTTTAGTCTTGATTATAACTTAACACTAATATTATTCAGCATTAACTTATAATCAAGATATTACTCACATTGTTAACTATTATTTTTGCTTTGGTCTCCCTTCCCTTAAAAACAGTGTTTTTCTAATCTATCTCACAAGTGAGCCAAGGCCAGTTTTCTGGTTAATGTTTACACTGTGATTCAAACTGCTGAAGGCCACCATACTACAAAACAAAAATCCCAAAACGCGAGAGAGAAAGGAATTTGAAGGAATACATGAGATGCACTTACTGTAGAGAGCCCAAATACCCTAATCTTCTTGTCTTTGCTATTATGATCAATTTTCCCTCCTCCAAGGCACTTGCACTCATATCCCAGCTTTTCCATCTCAGGATTTACTTTTTCAAATATGTGATCTGCACAAGAAGAATGGTTAGAGCCATTAGAGTATGCACAAGACATCAAATGCTCTTGAACTCTTTTTTTTTTGGGCTATTTCCCACTCACTTTCCTCCGGTTCCCTTCTTTCACCTGCATGAGAGGGGGGTTTCTTTTGACAGACATAGGAAAGCTGTAATTAAGGTTCTCTATTTCAGTTTGTTTTGGTTTATTTTTACTTAGTTATCACATCTCATTCTCCTAAAAGAGGCTTATCGAGTTTGGAAATGACATCTGACAGAGATACTGACCCACTTTTCATGGTCACACAAGGCACCTAGAGAGGGGTAAGAAGGGGCTCCTGAGCTATGCCCGCTGACACCAGCCACCAGGCCTCCCCCCGCCTCAGCTTTGCTTGGAAATCGGCGGGCTTGGACATCGTCCCGCACCTGAGGGCCTCTGCCAGGGGGAGGCCCCGCTATAGGTCCCCCGCCTCCCCCCCCAACCCCGCGGCCTGTCACCCACTGTGGAACTCGGCCGCCTTGGTGCCGCGGACGATGTCCCGCTGCTCCTCGCCACCCGGGCGCTGCAGGCGCACCAGGATGTACTTGAACGTGCCCTCGGGGTCGATCTCCACATCCCGCACCGCCGCCATGGCGGCGCCGCCGGCCTCTGAGGTGACCGCGTCGCGCGCAGGCGGAGCCCAGCGGCGGCGACGGGCGGGAAGGCGCCGCGCGCGCCCGAAGGCGGGGCAACCACCGTCGCCGTTACTCGTGAGGAGAGCGGGCGGGCAGCTCGGGCCGGCTTCTCCTCACCGGCTGTGAGGGGACGGTAGGGCGATGGTGTGGGTGACTCCTGCAGGTTGCCCGTCTATGCCTTCGGCATGTCCGTGCCCCCCTTCCCGGGCCGCCTCTCCCCCGGCTGGCGGAGCTGGGGCCGTGCGGCAGGCACCCGCCGTCACCGGTCTGTGGCAGCGCAAGGCCTTTATACTGTGTGTGGGTGGAGGTCGTGGAGAAGCAGGTAGCTTGGTGCCCCAGCATTCTATAGGTTATATTTTACAGTTACTAAATAAGAAATACAAAAATTTACCTCCTGTTTGCCTTACTTTATGGGTTCCACTTGATGAGCAAGGCAGGCTCCACACAGGTTCATCCTGAAGTCAGAGATGCCTTGAATGAATGAGAAACACCAATTTACTGATGATTGAATCTATGATACTGGAGGAAAAGAGAGTTGTTTCCTTACAGTGTTGAGGTAAGAGCAAAGACATACTCTAAAAAGAGGTAACGTTCACAGTTTTAAAGATCTGAAGGTTTTAAAAAAGTTACATAATATTTCCACAAAAAAAATTTCAACATAGCCGCATCCTTAAATGCTGTATTGTAGGCTACTTTCAACTGACCCATTAATGCATCCAAATTGTAAAACATTCTTGGCATAAATTTCTCCAACTCTAATATAAAAGCAATGCCTGAGCACAAACATTATGCTGTATAATATGTAATATATGGAAAACATCAGTAAAACAGAAGAGTACATTATCTAAATACAGTACAGATGGTTAACATGATATATGTAATTTGTTAGAATTTATTTTGGGAATTATTACTTCATAATTAAAGCTGTTTACTAAACTACTTTGTTAGCTATTCTACATCTTAATAAAAATTTCTAATATTTTGTTATTTTAGATAGATACTATTGCTAGTTACTTTTTTGAGTACAGAGCAATACCATCATTCTGAAGAAAATAACCAGAGCCCTAGTAACACAAGCCAGATCCTTCTTACCAGTATTTTAGGAGCTGAAGACGTGAGAAAGGCTTTAAGTAGAAACCAAGCCTACCATCTCAGGTGTTCTGGATTTGCCAAGGCAGGCAGGGAAAGTGATAAAAGCTGAGGTGGTTGATCAGTTTAGTTCAGTAGTAAAGGCCTGTAGGATTGTTTGTAGTGTTAGTTCTTTAAGTTTCCTTCTAGTAGTCTAGAAAAATTTATTTTTATTTTGATAGCTTATGTCTATGCAGCTTATTCTTTGATAATTTTGTTTGTTAATTTATGCTCTGTTGCTCTTATTTATCTTTTCTTGAAGCTTTGCTATTAAGAAGCTTATACAGAGTTTGTTTGTTTGAATGAACTTTGCCTTGTTATTTTTTACTGGAATAGGGTACTTGATTCCCTTGAGCATAGAAGACTGTTGCGTGCCCACGCTTATAGAAAGCTTTATTGCCCTATTTTAGTTATGATGGCACGGAAGGAACTTCCAACAAACAATAGTAGTACTGATGAGCAAGAGCAAGGATGGCAAAGGAAATACTTATGGCATACCTCAGATAGGAGTTAAACTTTAAAGGAATTTGTCTTCCACAACAAGAGCAGCATCTGGATTTGACCTAACATGAGTTTGAGTAAGTTTGTAACTTAGTAATAGGCAAAGCAGAACTTACCCAGTTCTCTTTAATGCCTTTGTCTTCCCAAGCACCCACCTTATCCAAAAGTAGTTTCCTATGCCATGTTGGGGTATATTGGTGCTTTGTGTTGGCGTCTAGGCTGATGACAGAAATCCCCTGTTGTTGGCAGTAATTGTTAGCGTGTCACTTTGTGAGCCTCAGGAGTCTGAAGAGGATGGCATAGGGCAACAGGGTCTCAAAACAGAGATAAATTGCATAGAGGGACTTTCCTTTTGTAATGGGATTACTCATATCTAACTGTGGCAGTGAGTTTGGCACTATTTTTTGAAAAAATAGGGGTTTTTTAAAAATTTATTTGGCTGAGGGACATCTTGTCTCTTCACAGAGCTGTCCTAAAAAACATTGTTCTGAGGAAAAGTACTGTAAATATCTCAACTTAGGTAACCGTAAACCAATGTGATGATAATTAAGACAGGATAGTGGGTATTTTTCTTGAGTAGTTGTAGCCAGACCGTAAGGATTAGTGTTGCCAGCATCCTCTTCTATTGTTCATAATGGGGGTTGTTTTTTGTTATGGTTTGCAGGCTTGGGACTGGACCCAAATGACACTGTTGTTGTTTATGCTTTTCCTATCATCAGATTGTTTTAATCCATATGCCCTTGTAAAATTCACCAATCCTTACGTTAGGTTGGGTTGTGCCAATATTGCAGTGTATGTTGCAGTGGATTAAATTGTTGGTGTAACAGAATGTGGTGTTAGCGGTTGTTAGGCTGAAGCTGGGGTACCTCAACCAAGTTACTGGTGGAGCTAGTGTATCTGAACTTGATTAAATTTCTCCATATATTCCAGCAATTGGAAAGATTAAAAAGAAGCAACAAAAACTGTGGTTCAGGTAACATGGTGTGATAGCTGGGTGTAATTAGCGCAGATACCCCAGTTCATTTTCATAGAGATATGAGATGCCTTGTTACCTGTAATACTTTTACCTTCTGAAAATACTTTCTGAGTGTCTTGAGAGGGATAAAGCAGATAATAGCCTTGTGTCCTCTATTGCATCCCTTATGAAAGGGTCTTGTGACTATGCTTTTTCTGTTTAATAATTCTTGAAAGTGTTAATGGATGTCAACTCAATTTGAGCTCATGATAGAGTTACAGTGTTACTATATTCCTACAGGTTCTATGAAAATAGGTGGAGAACAGAGACACTGTGTGTTTTAGGTGAGGGAATGGGTTCCTGTGTATGGAGTGAAATATTTGGGTGATGGAAACTGCTGATAGAGGATAAATACATTCTTTTTGTCACGCTTCATTGCATTTCTACTGGGCTTTGTGGTGGCGGGTTCTGAGTGTCTTGAGAGGGATAAAGCAGATAATAGCCTTGTGTCCTCTATTGCATCCCTTATGAAAGGGTCTTGTGACTATGCTTTTTCTGTTTAATAATTCTTGAAAGTGTTAATGGATGTCAACTCAATTTGAGCTCATGATAGAGTTACAGTGTTACTATATTCCTACAGGTTCTATGAAAATAGGTGGAGAACAGAGACACTGTGTGTTTTAGGTGAGGGAATGGGTTCCTGTGTATGGAGTGAAATATTTGGGTGATGGAAACTGCTGATAGAGGATAAATACATTCTTTTTGTCACGCTTCATTGCATTTCTACTGGGCTTTGTGGTGGCGGGAAGGCTGTGATATTTGTGTCTTGCTATAGCAAATTTCTAGAAATATTTTTCCTCTTTATTATGTGTCCCCACCTCCCAAGAAAAATTGTTGTGTTCAGAATTCCTTTCCCAGAATTCATGGTTTTTTGGCTACTGAGGTGGACAAATGGTCTTCAAGTAATCTTGGAGCAGGTTTCTACTTGAATGCAGTGTTCTTAAAAAAGTAGCTCTGGAATGTTTACTAGACATAAGCAGTAGCTTGACATATCAAAATACAGCTACTTTACCTTAAGTCTTTTTATCCTCTAGCCTTATTCCACTCGCTAGCTCAAACTACTATTCAAATCAGCGTTTTCTTCTGTGCCTTTAAGTACATGGATAGTAGCATGAGTATGTTTTTCAACAATCTGGTTATGTGTCAGTATCAAACCTAACAGTGGAAGAATGTGCTAAAGGCATGCTAAAAAAAAAAAGAAAAATATTCAAATGGGTAGCTTAAATGTGTTAAGAGCAAAGCACAGGTGGTTAATATAAATGCAGCTGCATTTTATTTCTATTTATTAGCAGTCCAGCTAGAGCACTGTAGAATACCTGCAATAAAACAGATAAAATACTGTTGTTAGATCAAGTGGTTGGTCCCTAGGAATGCCTGAGGCATAGGTGCTAGCAGGTGGTGTGTCTAATTAAGGATTTTCAGAGCAGTTCTGCCCAGTTATCCATTTCTTATGTTTGACCTCTTTCCTTTCTCTTCTTGCTGTGAATATACCTGAGGCTACTGTAGGACTTGCATCTGCTAATTAGATTCCTAAAATCTTTGCCATAAAAGCAGAAAGGTTGAGTGTCTTACTAGCCTTCCCTTTAAGTATCATTGAAAAAGCTGTGCATGTACAAAGTAGGGAAAATTACTGGAGTTTCTCAAGATGTAATTGGACGGGATGCTAGATCATACCATCTAGCTTCCCTTTTCCATGAAAGGTTGGACCAGTCATCTTTTGAGATCCTTTCAATGTGGGCTATTCTATGAAATTCAAGTGCTAAGATTACTGAAAAAGCAGTGAAAAACAGGTTTATGGTATTGTGGGGTTTTTTTAACTTTAGGTGTGTGAGCTTATGAATGTGTAAATGGACTTCCCACTTAAATGTTTTCGTGCATGCAAAGATTAGATCTTCACAGAAACACGGGGTTCAGATCTGACTGGCTTATGCCAAAACCCAGGATCAGTTTACTGTGCGGGTCTCAAACCTGCTATTTTTATCTTGCTTTCAGTGCCTGGACTATATACTAGTTACCTTGCATGACAACTTAAAAGGGAGAAACTGGATTGCTGTTGAAGATCAAATATAACATTTCATTTGAGAACAGGCAAAAACGCTGTGAGCCAGGAGTATCTTAATGTCAAAACATCCTCATATTTATTTTCTATTTAGTTGCATGACAAGTTAAAAGGGAGAAACTGGATTGCTGTTGAAGATCAAATATAACATTTCATTTGAGAACAGGCAAAAACACTGTGAGCCAGGAGTATCTTAATGTCAAAACACCCTCATATTAATTTTCCTATTTACTCTCTGAACAACAAGTGACTAGAAAAGGAATTAGTGTTATGCAAATATGTTAAATATACATTATGCTGCAGTGAAGCTCGCCATGAGATTCTCTCAAGCCATTATGCCTATCCAG